TGGGTAAGGCTGGGCTGTTGTGATGGGTGTGAGTGGGTAAGGCTGGGCTGTTGTGATGGGGGTGAGTGGGTAAGGCTGGGCTGTTGTGATGGGTGGGTGGGTAAGGCTGGGCTGTTGTGATGGGTGGGAGGGTAAGGCTGGGCTGCTGTGATGTGTGGGTGGGTAAGGCTGTGTTGTTATGACGGGGGTGGGTGGGTAAGGCTGGGCTGTTGTGATGGGTGGGTGGGTAAGGCTATGCTATTGTAATGGGGTGAGTGGATAAAGCTGGACTATTGTGAGGGGGCGGATGAGAAGGCTGTGCTGTTGTTAGGGGGTGGGTGGGTAAGACTGTTCTCTCAATTCCTTGGTACTTACCTGGTAGAAAAACTTTGCTCTCAGCAATGCGTTTCTATTTCACTAGTGATTAAACTGTATTGTCTGCATATCCCACTGGGGAAACTGGATGAGTCAGCCATTCAGATAGCACATAGCTAATTGCTGGTACCCAGGAAAGAGGACGGCCACACTCCCACACAGCTTCCCCGCCATTCTTCTGGTGGTGACGAGTCTGAGGTGAGCAGTCTGCTCTGGAAGATTCATGGAGGTGTTTCGCTAACCACTACCCCTGTCAATGGGTGTATTTCTGCACCCGACAAGGCCCTAGGCGGATGTGGTTATGCACCACTTGGATGCATGTGGAGTGATCAGCCTTCCTTGGATGTTCTGACCTGAGTGAGTTTTCATCTGCCTGGTAACATCTCCTCTCGGCCTCTCTTGAAATGACATGAAAGGGCCCAGGAATTCCTACTCCTATTGGTGTTAAAAGCCCAACAAAATTCTTCAACTCTAGGCAACTGTCACCAATAAAATTCCCAGGTTCTACCGTTTTCTTCTCTTTTCTGGAACTACAGAAAGATGAGGAAGACAAACTGAGTTTTAGGACAGATATTCAGCATGGTTTTCACATGGTTGAAGATATTTTATGCAGGCAGAGCAATACCATCTTGAAATCACTTGGATTTCTAAGTATTCTTCGCCAAATAATAACATTTAGATGTAACACTGAAAAGATGAGTGAGCCAGTGCCTGGATGAGAGACTGGAAGAGGTTAATAGAAATCTCCCAAGGCCAAGGATGGCAGGACCCTGAGAAGAACTGTGTCCCCCTTCCTCTTCCAGTCTCAGTGCGCACCAGGCACTCAGCAATGACAGCCCCTTTAGGTGGGTCACGCTGTGGGGAGGGCCTTGGCTGCCTACCTATTCTTTACCCAGCTAGCATCTGTTGATTTATGGGTCTATGCCAGGGGCCGTCTAACCTTCACAGGTCACTTCAAAACTCACAGCGCCCTGTGAGGAAGGGACTATGGTAAGACACTCAAGAGGAGGGAAACAAAGCACAGAAAGGGTAAGTGATCTGCCCAGTGTCACACAGCAATGAGGTGGCAGAGCAGGGATTCAGACCCAGGCAATCTTGCCCTATGTCTATTCTTCCTTGTGCAGCTAGGTAGGTTTTTCTTCTGGACTGCCTTGACTTCCCATAAACGGGGCTAATAACACCTACCTCCGAGTAGTCCCTACACTTCAGTCTGAGCCGCAAATGAGGCAATAAATGTATGCGAAGGCTCTGTGGGTGCCAGCAGCAACCTCTCTACTAATCTCTTCGAGTAAGCTGGGAAGTGGTATGACTCAGACAAAGCCAACAGCAATAGAACATTAATGCTGCAATGAAACTAGAATTTTTTGGTATTTAAAAGAAGTCACAAAAGAATGGCAAAACATGAACTCTGGGACAGACTAGTAAAGACAGATTAAAAAAATGGAAACAAATGATCTGAACAAAAACACGTGTGCAGCACACAGTCCCTCGACAGCATGTGCGATGTCGCTGCATGAGCCTCGCAGACAAGAGGAAGGATGGAGATGAGGACATCGCCCTGTGTGTGGACACCCACGGCCTCTGTGCCTCAGAGGACCACTTGAGCCTCTGCGGAGAGTAAAACGGGATCCTGGGAGAAAGGATGACAAGGGAGCTAGTATAGGCTTCAGTCACCGGCCCGAGCTGTGTGGAGAGGGACGTCCCAGAACATCAGAACACGGGACCAGACTCTCCAAAGGCCTCTGCCCCAAATCGTTCTAAGGCACTGCCAGCAAGGCTGTAGCAGGGCGCACACCACAGTCCTTATAGTCCTTGCTTGAGTGGCTGTGGGAGCTACTGCGTAAATAATATGAAGGGCGTCGATGTATGGTGGGTTCCGACCATCACTCGCCATTCTCGTCACATGTTTTATGTCCCCAGGGGTTTTCTAATCTGTCAATACTTTTTCAGAATCATCCCTATTGACGCATTGACTTTCTGTTGAAACACTTATGTTTCCATATTTATCTTCACAAACAACCGACTCTTGGCTTTCCTGATCTTTTGCATTGTTTTATTTCTGGTCTTTGTTATTCTGGGCTTAGTTTAGTCTTTACTTTTCTAAGTCCTTGAGCTACTTCAACAGGATATTTGCAAAGTTTCTATTTTCTTTTAATGTAGGCACTCATAAATGTAACCTTAGGGTATTTACTGCATCTCACAGTTGTGTTGTATTTGTTTCTATTGTAATTTTTGGTTTGTTGAGAATTCCACCTATGTGTACAATGGGAATGTAACCAATGCCCTTCCTAACTTTCCCCAGGAGCTTCCCTTCCTAACGGCTTGTATTTTGTTGTTTGTTTTTTTTTTAGAACTTACTAAGTCTAATTAGTGCTGCCCATATGTGCACAGGTGTAGGGCCATCCACTGGAGCGTGGGAAACCTACCAGGAGTCATTCTCCCTGGGTAGTCTGAACTAAATGACCCCCACAGGATCATATGTTTGAGCATTTGGTCACCAGTTGGTAGACCTGTTTGGGAAGGATTAGGTGGTGTGTCACTGGGTACAGCCTCTGAGATTTCAAGCCTCACAGCACCCTCAGTGTGCTCTCTGCCTCCTGCTTAGGGTTCGAGATGTGAGCTCTCGGTGCTCCGCCTCCATGCCTTCCCGGCACCATCCTCCATCCTGGACTCCACACTCTCTGTGACTGTGGGACTGATCAAATATTCTCTTTGATAAGTTGTCCTGGTCATGATGTTTTACTATAGCAATAGAAAAGTAACCACTGTACCCTCCAAGAAGGATCTCCCTCCTCTAGCAGTTACCAACTGCCAATATGAGAAAAGCACTAATTCACCTCTCAATTCCTCAGTGATCCACTGCTCTGTGCTGTCCTATCTCTGCTTCACTTGTTAACTGGATTCTAGTTTTATCAATCATTGTGATCAGAAAGGATCTAGCATATAATTCAAATGTTTTTAACTTTGTGCTATAATACATAATCTTCCAGAGAATTCCTAAACTGAGAAAAATGTGTTCTGTAACTATGAGGTGGATTATTCTATAAATGCCTTGGAAGTCATAGGATTTATATTATAACTTGACTGTGATATTAATTTGACTTTAGGAGGAGGTCTGTATGACCTGCCCATTAACCAGGTAGAATGTTGAAATTCCACACTATTTCTATATTGGAGCTTCTCTCCATGTGTCATAATATTTGTCTATGAAGCTGGATTCT